CGCAGCAACAGGTGGCGACGACCACCCCTCTCCAGCCAGGCCATGCGCTGCGCGTGCGTCCGGCCGCCCCGCGACCCACCCCACCCCACCTCACCCCTTCCCCTGTCCTTCTCCCACTGCCTCTCGCTTCGTCACAAGCAACACCAGCAGCAGCAGCACCGTGTCTCACGAACTTCCCCGGCTTGGCCCAGCCGCCCGCACCCTCGTGTCGCAGCCCTGACCCCGGCCAGTCGGCCCCTGCGACGAGGTCGGGGTTGGAGTTGGGCAGGGATTCACTGTCGATTTCGCGGTAATTGTTGCGGGTCGAGAAGCCGCGCAAGAGGCACGGTTTGCCATCTGCAAACGCCCTTGTGTGAATGAAGGAGACCGGGCCAAACGGCATCCGACATGAAACTGATTTGGCAGATCACGGTTCGTACGTGTGTCCATCTGTCTTAGTATTCGAAGGAGTGGAATGCGTCGCGGGTCCTGGACTTCTTAATTGCATTGATAACCGGCTATGGGCCCGGCTCAATGGATTGGAGCAGGCAGGTCCAGAATGGAGCTGGCAGCGAATATAAGCACTTACGTTTTCCCCACGCGACCAAAGTGGTTGGTTTCTCCACGTATCGTATCCGATCTACCCTCTCGTACACAGTTTAACATCAACCTTATTTCCCCCCATGCGTACCCTTACCATCATTCCGTCCCGTGGAAGTCAATCCATCACTCCCAAGTTAAGGGGAGGTCATATAGCCACCTCTCATATAGCAAGCCACCTCTTGGGCCCGCTCGATAACCGTGTATGCAACTCTTCATCATTTGCATTATCTTCACCACTGTCTCTCCCCTATTTCGATATGGATTGTTGAAAGTGCTAAAGTGGGTCGATACTTTAATAACAAGCGCCTACCACGCATTTCCCACTCCCCGCGTTCGCGTAGTTGGGCGATCTGACTCGTTAAACAGCCTGTGCATCACTAGCTGAAGTGGGAAACGGAGTACGCAGAGCTCGGTCTTGGTCCGAGCTCACTAGATATCCCGACGGCTGTCGCCTCGCCCCCAACCGAGCGGCGCGGCTACCAGCGAACCCTCGCCACGCGACGTGGGCGACGCGTCCCTTACACAGAGACTAGTGCATTTCTTTGCGCCGCCGACGAGGCGAAATGGGATGTACCATGATGACGGGCTAAACGAACGTCGTTAACGTGTACTAAATGTAATATAATTTCTCGGGAGTTATGATGGATGCGAGATGTCCCAAGTCGTATACAAAAACTGTCTATATTATCGCGTTCCTAGAGCGATTCTATTTCCATAAGATACCATAAGATTCCTAGAGCGAACTCTATTTCAGAAAATCTATCACTATCCGAGGGTGAATGTCTGCTAGAGTTTGGTTTTCCACCGGGGAACAAATGACGGCAATCTATTTTCAAGTTCATCTCCTCCGTTGTTCTTGTTATCAATACTAGTTCCCTAAAAATGCCCACGGACCAAAAAAATTCGACGACCCAATTCGACGACCTCCCAGCTATGAATCTTTAAGAATAGCGAAACGCCTCGTTACACAAATCGGTATAGTCAGAAATAGTAGAACAATTTCTTATTAATTAACGGTGAAATTCTTCATTCTCTACAGCTGGGTTTTAAATACAACCGTGAGGCATAAAAATTCCGAACAAGAATTGCATAGGCGGTACTTTCCAAAACCTTTTATCCGGATTTGACAACAGATGACCAAATATAGAAATATACTTGTTAAGTTGCATTTTGCTTCCACAATTTTAAAGAAGCTTCTCACTGCTGATAATATTTCAAAACTACCGTCACCATTTGTTATAAGACCGACTACTTAGAAGTTAGGGTTTCATTTCTGCAATTGGAAGACAACAATATTTCAAAATTATCAAAGAGGTTAAATACATATTTCGCAACCGCTCCCATCAAAGCAATGTTACAATTGTTAGAATTATTGTAGTAGTTGACACACAAAACCATCGTTCATTCAAGGCACAGAACATTTAAGAACAGAACAGGTTGCACCCGACACCACAAAAAAATAATTGAAGGAAAAGAAAGGGTTGAATTGAGGGGTTTTGTTTCGGAGGTTTTGTTCTCCCGTAATTGAACCATAACAACGAATAAATCATCAAAGTGTCTAAAAAAAATTGTGATATCGCTAGTACTACAATTAAGCTCAGCGTATTAATTAAATAACGAGTAAAATATTAATAAAACACACGAGAATCTCGAAGATATGGCCTGCGGAAACTCAAAGATATTGCCGGTCACTTGATTCGTTTAAGAATAATTAATACACAAAAGAGGAAATAGGACACCTATGCCCTTGTTAGAAATTTCTGGCAAACATCTGTTCTTCTCCGCTTAATAATGAATTTGCTGTGTTAGCTTTGGAAAACTGAAACGATAGCGCCCTTTCGCAGATGCTCTGCAAGTGCTAACCTGAAAAGACATACTTAGCCCCTGGATAGCTCACGTCTATCTTTATTAGGTTGCCGGTTCTTATACCATCCCTAAGCCTCCTTGGAGTAGATAAATAATGTTCAATAGGTTGATGATTATGATTTGAATGAAGTAATAGTGAAATGAGAGCTACAGAAACCTGAGAACCCCCAGGAATAACGTCCGATCCAACCACATATTTTACGGAATTACAACTATCTTTTTCTTCTCCCCCACCCCCGGATATCGAATCGGCACGCTTACGACATTGAAACTTCGAATGTAACATATCAATTTCAGCGATATACCCAAAGTCAAAATAAAAACCATGGAAACTTGGCACTGAAACTTCCAGAAACACTTAACTAAACGTTACGAATTCTTAAAGAATATTCATATATACTCAATTACAAATGTAGTTGTGAAGAGTATTTTATCGAGTACCTGACGTGACGAGGAGGTGAACGGCAACATGCCGCACTTCGCGGGCACGCTGCACGGAACACGGTACGCGCAGCACAGCTAGAGAAACTGCCTAGGCGATATTACCGATCGGTGATATCGCGTCGATCTAGGTAATTCTGGAGATGAAATAATGTTTTACGTGATAAGGTAGAAACTACAACTTAGAAATGAGCTTCGTCAGAAAAAAAACAATATTTTAATATAAACCACGTGTTTTCATGTATTTTTGATTTTACACCCCCGCTCTCGCATTACAACCTGTCGTTCAAAGCTCATTTGGTTTACAACTTAGGACTGGGATGCCCAAGATTTTAAATAATGAGATGGTATGGGCTGCGCCAGGACTGTTACTCTATTCGCGTTTACTTCCCAGGGTTTCAAAATTAACGGCTATATTGATAGCATAAAAGATATTTAACAAATGGAAGTTTTTTTAGTAAAGTTTAATACACAAGTTATTTAAGTTTAAAACCTTGTACAATAAAATACTTTAGTTAATACAGAAAGTTTACCGCGTTTTAATTTGTGTCATTATGTAAGTTTTTGTTTACAAGCTGAAACGTGAAAGAAGTGAAACAATGAACATCTACTCGAAAGAAGCGAAACATGTATATTCCACGGAGAGGTGTAGGATTTTTTAGTCCCAAACAACGCGATGAAAGCTATTAGATTCTCATTCTTAAAACAGGATCGTTTTAACGAAGATTTCCAGAAACTTTCCGTGTGATTTTATCTGTTGTTATTTCCATGCATTTATGCAACAGGAACCTAGCCGTCTTCAACATTGGAAATTCATGTCAAAATGAACTGCTTCTTAACAGCTTTCGCATCTACATCTAGAATAATGGTGAGCAGAAAAATGTATATTATTAATACATGAAATCGTCATTTCAATTTTCCAGTTTTTGGCGAAAGTAAAGAACCAAAACATTTTCAATGAGAGAAAAATTTGCTACAGACCAAATTCATTTCTAGATAAGTGATTCGAGGGCAGTAATTGCTATATTACTCGCATGAAAAGTCCTACAAACGATCACGCCAAGTTCGCCTCCCGCCGCGCCGGTTCCCCTCGCTCGACAGCGCGCGCGCTCACGTGGAGCGCGCACGCGGCTGCCTCTTCCACGCGAAGACCTCCGCACAACCTAGCGGCGGCCAGCGGAACTTTCGCTGCTCCTTTGCATCGCCCGCCGTCCGCCAGACGTCGCTGCGAACCAACATGCCGGGCGATTCGACTGTCAATTACCGCGTGCGTACTGGTGTAAACACACTCTCTGCCAGGGCCACATAGGTTTTAATGAAACGACACACAAAACATGGCATAAATGAAACAATTTGCAATCGCTAAAACTAAACACGAACTGCTGCAAGACAAGTAGCTCTCAGCTTTTATCATCAGGGCCATATTCACACCCTCTTGTGATAAAACAAAAATTGTTCGGTGTGACCTGAGGTACAAGTAGATTACGTCCAACAGCGTGCATATTCATTCCTTCTACAAAATAATTTCGTGTCCAACAGTTTGTCAAACAAATAAAAATGTAAATTAGAGCCAAATCATGGAAAAATTCTACTTGTAGCTCAAAAGCATGATCAATCTTTCCGTGTTCATGTCAAGCCAATCAAGATTAAAATCAAGAGTTAAAAAGTAAGTGAATATGGCCACAGAAAAGCAGTCCCTATCCATCTACTCCCGCATCACACACAAACCCCTCCAAGCAACGCAATGTTAGCGAGAGAGCGTTCCTGAATGCTGGAAGAAAACTTTTTCTTTAGAATCCAACACATAACACGGAACGAGAAAACAAACAACAAACAAAACAGTCACGTAACAGGGAACATAGCAACGAAACATACAAAACAAAGAACGCACAGTACGGAGAGCAGGGGATCCGATCCCGGGGTTGGTGGCCGGTGACAGAGAGAGAGAAAGATGCGGTTCGGTATTCGGTTCGGTAAATGGCGGAGGCCGGGGCGGAGCATACACCGCTACACGTCCATTCCCAGGGCAGCCGTGAAGTGGCACAGGGGAAGCGGCGGCAAGCAGTGGCGAGCGGGCGGGGTGCTACATGCCAAGCGGGATTCACACTCACCTGGCTGGACATCATTTGGGCATGCGGGGGTGTGGGGCTGGGGGTGAAGGGGAGGGCTGTGAGACGGATCGGTCGGCGTGTGATGCTCCATGGTCGAGTTCTGGACAAGCCGTTCAACATGTCAATCAGTAATGCACTCCACCGGGGACGCGGAGAGAGCGGCGGCGGACAAGATCCAGGAGCGGGCGGGGAGGCGGGGCCCGGAGCGTGCGGAGGGCGGGGCGCAGGGCGGCGCCAACCTGGCCGCGGGGCGGCTGACTGGCGAGGAAGGAGAGAAGAAAGAAGGGCGGGGAAAAGAAGAGAAGAGCGACAATCGAAAGGAGGGAAGAACAAACGCACTGGGACGGACTACCGTCCGACGATCGGTCGTTCGTGAACGGCGAGGAACGTATTAACTGGCAAGGACAAAATTTTATAGTGAGCAAGTAACAAACGTTAGGCCAAATGTGTGAAGCGGAGGACAACTTATGAGCGAAAGTGTATACGCGGAGAGATTGGGTAAAAACATCCGGTGTTCAAGAAAACATGAGGTATTATGACAGGAATAATTGCGCAAACACTGACGGGACCAACTTGCGAAAAGCAAGAATGATAGTACAGATGATAGGAACGGAAGGAAGGAAATAATACAGCATCCTCCAGGAAATTAAATGCATTCAGGGCAGGAAATGTTGGATAGAAATAATGACGGAATTGATTAGAAGTGGTGCATAGGAGCGGATGAATTACATCGCTATATGTTGGCGAGTGAGCCTGTGCAGCAGAACGGTCAGGAAGGACAACTGGTAATAGAGGGAGACTGTTGTGGCGTAATTCTTTCGGACAAGAACACAAAATTGTGTTTGTGGACAAACAACAGAAAAATGCGTTAATACTGCAGAAATGATATGGATGAATAAAATTCAATGGAAAAGATGACGGAAAATGAATACTTTTGTTATTCTTTTCACAAAACAATTAAGGGTGTTTCAGGATTGGAAGAAATGAAAGTAAAAGTAGTTAGAGCCTTACGGTTCATAATAAGTCAACTGTGGCGAACACGGAAATGTTTAGGAAAGAATCGTCGATAATTTGATAGATAAGAGGGAGCGAATATTGATTTGATATTCTGACATATATGGGAGATAACATAACAACGAAGAAAAGGACAGGTTTTCTTTGAATTGAAGAAGGATCAATCACTGGAATTAAAAAATGGTAACGAAGAAAATAAGGCGTGAAGGTGACGAGTAATAGTTAAAAACAAATTGAAGAGTGTAACAGAAAAGCTTTAATAGGGATGACGGAGCATAAGTTTTCTTTCTTTTCTTTTTCCAAAAAAGATAAGATGCAGATAATGCTTCAAAAGTAGACTGTGATAGAGTTGCTTGTGATACGGAAAGGAATGGAGGCGCAGAGGAGAAGGGAGCGAAAGGCGGACTGATGGATGAGAAGGGGGCGTTGGAAGAGCGGGGAGAGCAGGCAGCGACTCGCCTAGCTATCTCGGTCAGGCCCTAGATGTGAGACGCGGTCTCGGTGAGAGTGTGCATATCGAAGGTGGAGTGGGACTTTAGAGTGAGCGGGGCTCGAGCGTGTGAGTCAATTCAAAGGTCTACCCCCGCCAGGGTACTGTACAACTATTTTTAGTTTTTTCTTAGCGAGCCACGGTGGATGAAGAGAGAGAAAGAGAGAGAGAGAGGTGCTTCAAACACTGACCCGCGGAAACAAAACTACAGAAAATAAGGAAACTGTCGTGCAGCAGATTTAAAGTTGGAACATGAAACAGCTCTAAAACATTCATAACACAGTGCGCCGAAGGTATGTCCACAAACGTACAGCAACCACCGAAACACGTCCACAGGCCCAGAACTACGAGAGCGGGAAGTCAAGAGAAGAGATGGCACATAGGAAGAGAGACAAGACCGGCGGCGGGGGCGGAGGGCGGCTGGCGAGGGCGGGGGGGGGCGGAGGGGGGGGTTCGATGGGCGGGCAGGACGCGCGCGCCGCCCCTGGCGTGGATGGCCGCCATGGACCTGACGGCCCATGCCACGCGCGTGGGCGACGGCGCGCGCGGACGGGGCGGGAGCAGGGGCGCGACGGAGGCGTCCGCTGCCAGCCGCCCGGGTGGCTGTGGGCGGCGGGGCGCTGACTGGAGGCGACGGAGGGCGGGGCTCTCGGGAGGCAGGTAGAAGCGGGGAGACAGAGCGAGACATCAACAACAAAACCAACACCGACACACACACGCACACGGAGCCATGGGACCGCACCAAGCCCACAGGCTACGACAACGCACGACGAACACAACACAAGACGAAAACAAAGTATAATAAAACAACGGCACTGGTACAGTACGAGCACGCAGCCGGACACGGCGGCGCGCCGGCACAGGTGGGCCCCAGGGCGCGCGCGCGTGCCGGCCGCGAGCCGAGCGGCGGGCGCACAACCGCCGACCTCACGCAGGTGAGCCGAGTTCGCCTCGTCGCAAGCTAACGAGGTCCGCGCCGAGCATATGTGCCGCGGTGACGTCAGGCGAAAGGCCACTTGCGGCGCCTCTGCGAGCTCCGGGGTATACGGAGCGAAGAAGCAGGCAGAGAGCATGGGCGTACCGCAACATCTTCGAGGCATTAGTGCCTTGTATGACGGGCATCTGACCCACGGAGTCAGGAGGCTGAGGACAGACTCAGAGACGCCAACAGGCGATCTAAAACCCCTATAGAGAGCACCTACAGAACTATAGCTCGATCGAGCGTAGGCCCCTCTAACCAAGCGTCTACGCTACAATACAATCATAGCAAACAGTTAGAGATTTTCTCTAAGATTCCACAGAGTTGCAAAACTATATTTTACATCCACATATTCTATCTATCAAGCATATGTTATCTAACATTCAGTACTCTCGATTCTACAGAGTAGGAAACTATTATGTCGAAAAGTACTAAACTATATTTTCACAATTCACGATATTATATCTACACAATCTTTTATTTGCTACTTAATTCACATGATGAACGTCAATGGAACTAGTATTACTAGCCGAACATACACTGTGTACGACAAACGACAGCAACATGCTACTCGAAAGATTTCAAAGGCGATTTCTATTGCGATGTTATACTCTAGTCAATCTGCATGCATTTTAAGCCAGACAATATTATCAACGAGGGTCTGCGTGTTTCAATACACATTCCCGTGTTACAACAACACAAATTTTGCTCGTTTCCATACAAACAGGTCGCTAAGTATCATTTGTCAATGAAACAAGTAGTCCGATTATATGAAGCATGAATCGAACAAGATCAAATTCTCTCATATATTTTTGGCGAAAAACACCAATAACGATGGCAATAATATTAACATGAGGAATATCGTAAGTTATTACTTTAGCTGGTCTGGAAATTCATACAAGCTATTTACAAACAAACCCACCTTTGACACAGTTTCAAATTTCGCGCTATACTACACAACACTGTCGGACACATTCAGAAACGTAGTAGTCTCATCGCTCCACAGAGGCCCGTGTTCGTGACACGCCGCGCCCCTAGCGTAGCGGCCATACTGTGAAATTACGACCAACAAGAGTGAGAGTCGATGCGCGGTGCATTTAATGTCAGTTTGCTTGGTCATCGAGGCTCAGAGAAGTGGATGTGAACATTTTGGTCAATTTAACTACAAATGATGATACCAACGTTAACTGAAGGTATACGGGTGTGTTTCAGAATCTATTATATATATGGGGATTGTGGAGACACGAATTAGTATGTGTTGTGAAGAACGAATTAAATACCAATGAAGCTCATTGCGACGAACTGTACGAACAGTTTCTTAGTGAGACTGTAAAGTTATCAAACGTAAGTACACATAATATTATCAGAATAACTTCAGGACGTGTTCAGGACTATCGGAAATTTATTTACTGAGTTATGGTTAATACAGTAATCGTGTTTAGTATCAAAAAAATGCATTTCCAGTCAACGCTTCCGAAGTATGGGAAGAAATTTTAATACCGAACTGTACCATCGTTACGCTTGCATTAATAAATTAATGAATAAACTGTACAGTTGTTCTTATAGATCGCTAGTAAACGCTTGACAAATTAAATTTCTGAAATATGATATAGATTATGAAATAATAATACGAAACTATAAGAAGTGACAAATGTACACTAAAATGGTAGTCAAATATTACGAAAGCATATGCGATTCTTAAAAATATTAACAATAAAAATAATCACGAAGGATCGCAGTAGATGCAAAGATCCTGCCAAACAATACCCCCTCTCCCCGTCGAAAAAATTAAAACCTAAGAAAATTAACGCAGGATAACGTTTGAAACGGTACATCGGCGTAGTAATAGTATATATATATATATATATATATATATATATTATATATATTATATATATATATAATTATATTAAATATATAATATATATAAATATATATAATATATATAATTATTATGATATAAAATATATTTAGATATATATATATATATATAAATATATTATATATAATTATATAATATATATATATATATATAAATATATATTATGCAGGATGCGGGGAAGCGCCGCTTTCCCGTCCTGGCTGCATGCATCCAGAACGCACGCTGCCCGCGCTGGCGCTCCGGTCGACCGGAAGTCATCGCTAGACGCGGCGCAGCGTCTGCGAGGGGCGGGGCGGGGCGGGGCGGGGCGGGGCGGGGCGGGGCGGGGCGGGCGGGGCGGGGCGGGGCGGGGCGGGGCGGGGCGGGGCGGGGCGGGGCGGGGCGGGGCGGGGCGGGCGGGGGGGCGGGGCGGGGCGGGCGGGGCGGGCGGGTCAGCTGCGGGGAAGGGGGGGTTCGTTGAGGGGGGGCACGCGGGCGCGGGGGCAACGGCCACGGCGGGGGGAGCCTCCGGGCGGAGCGTCTGCTGGTCAGTCTCGGGGGCGCCGGGAGCGCAGCACGCGGGGCGCGGGGCAGTGGCGGACGACTTCGGCGCGCTGGCCCGTCGGGGCACGCCCCGCGCGCGCCGCGCGCTCGCGGAATCGATCCCACACATTTTGCGGCGCCGGGGAGATAATACTGCATCATTGGCGGACAATAATCGGGCGTTCATTTATGATAATGTTACAAGCTTTCTTACCGTTTTGCTTGAACATAAC